TCTCACAAGCTGTCATCGGGCAGCCTGGTGCTTTGCTTTGTCTATCGTCCACAGTAGCTGTTAAAAGGGGCTCTCACACACCGCTCAACTTATAACATCACTCATCTAAATCATTAGTGCGTCTGCTTTTCAGGATGCGCGCTGAGTAAACTCTGTTGGTGCAGGATGACGAGGCCAGAGCCACGATGGCAGGTTGTGGGCCCACTAAAATGGAAAAGACGGGGAGTGACTTAAGATCAAAGACCTGTAGCCCTTTTAAAGAGCAATGTCCAAAGTCACTTAACGTCTGGGCACGGTATCAGCTGGAAAACAGGAACATCTCGAAAGACAACCGACTTTAGGCTTTCCAAACTTTGCAAGAATTTGCCATAGCCTTTAGTTCAACTACATGCCTCACCCCACTCTTGATTGAACATAGTTGTCAGAAAATGAAAAAAAAAAACCAGCATGGAATATTGTAATCATCTTAATTAAAACGTGAATCAAAATACCTAAGGCCTCTTCCCGTTATTCCCACAATACGACGTCACACACAGAACAGATAAGGATGTTCTATCTTTTAAATGGAACAACCACATTGCAATTAGGAAGCACAATAGGAACATCCTCCTCCACATTGAGGTGAAGAGTTACACCACCCCAGGGAGAATCTGCAGCAGTCAAAAACAAGCCACATAGCGCTGCAGCATACATAGGCCAGTGCAAGCCATTCTATTAGAGAGAGAGAGAGAGACACCAATGGGGGCCAGGCTATAAAAATAGGGCATGCACTGCAATTTTGCATCACTTGTTTTAAAAAATAATAAATATCCGCAAGCATTTTATACCTCTTGACTTTCTGGGGCTGTTTCTTCTTTGAGTAAAACATTTGAATACACAACCAGACAGTTCTTATTAAAGTGGGGAGTTTACTGAAATGCGCATAGTTTTGGAAGAGAGCACATTTCTCAATCCTTTTTGTACATTCTGCAGTAAAGCCTGTGCCGATTTGGTAATCAGGCCACGCTTATGGGTAAATGGAAATCTAGCCTTCTCCTTCCCTGGGTTGGCAGCCATGTGCTGGCCTCCCTCTGTGCTTTTGCTGGTCGCCTGTATCTGCTTAGAACAGGTGCCGGATCCCGTTCGGCTGCAGCATTCACAGCACAGGTACGGGTGGGAGGCCCTTGGCTGCTCGTACAGTCCCCCAAGTTTTCCAGGGGTCCCCATCTGTGTCCCCGCACATCCTCTGCCACATGGCACCTGTCCCTCGACGAGTCTGGTCCATTCTTCGTCCGGCGACGTACACGCCTGCCTGCCACCCCACACTCTGCCTGTTGTTGAGCCACAATGAGATGAAGAATAGCTGCACCCATAATCCCTTGCTGTGAGATGTGTGTGTTTTTTTGTTTTTTTTTCCTTCTTTCCCTTCCTTTGGCCAGATTTAGGGCCAAGTACAAATTGTAAACAGGTTATTATGCTGCTGTAACACACTCCAACTGGAAATGCACTCCGACAAATTTTAGTATTCACTGATGTAAGTGTGTCTTTATCCGTCGCACAGAGTAGTTTAATTTGGTGTAAAGTTCACTGCATTTACTGTGATGAGGATGCTGTAATTGGTTTTGTTGTTTTTCTATTTGCGAGGCTTAACAGGAAAAACATGATTACTCCCCCAGAATCACTTGGAATGATAACTTTGCTTCATCTATTTGCAAATAACTACTTGTGATGTATCCAGCTGCATACATTTTATTATAGAAAAGTAATCAACATGCCACCATAACATATAGTATCTATAGGATGTAAGTTTAAAGGGCATCTCAGTCTCAGACACTGATATGACTTAGTCACGTAGTTCAAATCAGCCACTTCCTCTTGACCTACAGTTAATAGGCAAAGAATGTCATATAGCGCATCAACCTCCAGATGTGACGTGATTGGACGCTCCCTCGCTGGCTACACAATGGACGCTGGACCAACCAGACAGTCAGCCTCCTCCGTGCCTCCGGAGGACACGATATTTAAAGTGATCACTGCTCACCTCGGCCCCAGCAGATGGATAATATTTTACACAGCTGTGTGAGCTCCGCGCCCTGTCTACACACACCGAGCCTTACGTCGTTACCTTGACAGTTGGTGTTGAGTTAGACTGCAGAGTTGTTTGTTTGCCCAGGGAAGTGACATGACGGCAGAAAAGGAAATAGGAAACATAACAGACTACCTGACAGACTCATTCCACAGGCTTGACCTGAGACTGGAACTGAGCCAGTCAGCAATCAGAGAGAAATAACAAGAAGAGGTGCTTTTGTTTGTTCAGCCTATATCCTTATATTCACAAATATTGTAAATCTTGTGATCCTGCAAATGTGGGAAAGATTCAATTAGTCAAATTAAAGAAATTATTACCTCCTTTCACACAGAAGAAGGGGCATTAGGTAATTCCTGCAATTGCCTGCGTGTATAAAGTTTATGCAGTTCACAACAATGTCATGCCAGAGTCTGAGTCACATTATTTTCTCTTTCCTCTCTTGTTGATTTATTGCAGCTAAAACAGCAGCGATGGCTGTCTCAGGTTTTCAGCAGAAGGCTTTGAATAAAGGTTATGATGACGATGAGTCAACTTTTACTGCGAGGAGGAAAAGATTGAGACTAACAAGTTGAGTGTTTTGCCCTCACTTCCCGAAAACTTAAACATCACAGGATCCACAATTCTCTGTAATTAGCTACTCCTGTAGAGCTCCTCTGGGATTGTGGTGCGCTTATCAAAGATGTGTTATTTTCCAGAACAGACATGAATTGGTCAGTTATTAGTAGTTTTCATTAGAAAATTACTGTATACTGTTTATGTATCACTGAGGCTTGATAGGTGAATGTAGACCATGTTTTAATAATGAAAACAACAGCACCACTGTACATAATTTTTGTAGAAAATGCATATATATTATACCTTTATTATATGTAGACGCAGTGTAAATTTGTAAAACTTTCTAAGAATTTCTAAGTTATTTGATCTTGAGTTCATTCGCTGGCCAGTGAAAACCATCTATCTCCAAAACAGGTGATTTTAAATTTTGTAGATAATCTTAATGTTAAGTGTTCCTTCAATGTTGAGAAAATTGTCAGCTAAATAAAAAAAAAGAACATTGGATTATCTAAAAAATGCAAACTGAAAACAGGAAAAGTTCAGATTTTGAAAATGCATGTTTTTTTATGTGACATGAACTGCATTTTATCTTTGTATATCCCTTGCCTATATCTCTGTAGTGGAGTTGTTTGGATACTATTAGAATATAAAAAGCATATGGGAACAATAAGACATAATGATAAAAACACAGCTTTATTTATTTCTATTATCAATGCTCAGGTACTCGTGTATAATAGTCTGTATCTGTTGTGATGATGCTTTGTTTGACGCTTCAGTCTGTGACCTTGTTACAGTGTCCTACCCTGAGGTGGTGGATGTGATTGTTGAGAGATTGCAGGGCATCTTTACCAAGGGAGTCTGCAGCAGCACCCTGAGCTGACCCTGACAACCGTGGGGCTGATGCCGCACCAAAGACTACTTTCTCACCCCGTACGCCTGAGGCACCACCCGTTCAAGATACGGCCGCACTCAGATGGACCCTCTGCAGACTTTTGAACCCCTGCAGGCACAAAGGGTAATGATTTAACCCCGTAGAAATGAGCATGACGCAGGCCAGCTGCAAGCACTGGTACTTGATGAATGTTGTCATTTTGGTTAGTTTAATCACATTCAGAGCAAGGTGTGTCAAAAGCACACGATCATGTTGAATATGGGTACACAGAAAGGCCATGTTTTGGTATATGTTGACCACAAGTGTTGTGTTTTTTGGGGTCAGAGTAAGAAACCTGCTCATTGCTGTGTGGATGTTTGCGGTCCGTCTGTGGTCACAATACGACAGGCTACGTTGACAAAGCCTCTCCTGAAAAATGGTGGGTAGGTAAAGACGGGTAAGTAAGATGCTAATCAGCACGGCAGTGTTTCCTCCCGCTTGCTGAACAGCGGGTTCCCTTCCCTCTCTCTGGCTCTTTAATGCCGGGCCCAGCCAGGCCCAAACATCCTGACGGAGAGAGGCTTTTCCCTTATCAGCCAGGAAACACCGCTCCTCCGCCACATCCTCTTTACAAGAAGCACGACTCAACCGTTCCCAAAAAATGCAGGAAGACCAGCCAGACTCCAGGATTTGTCAAAAGCCCCCTGAATTCCTTTTTATCGAAAAAGAAAAATTCAAGAGAACAGAGAGGGTGAGAGGGAAGGAGTACGAGGAGGGAGGGGGGGGTAAAAAAGAGAAAAATGAGGAGGGTGTAAAACAGTCAACGAGGCCCTGGGATTTATTTTTTTATTTATTTTGCACAGATTACGAAAGGTCTGCATCAGCAAGATAGAACATGGGGTGAGGGGGTGGGGGTGGAAGGGGGGTCCAGAGTGCCTAAGAATGGCACCCAGAATAAGACTCCGGGAAAACAAAGGACGGGGGAGATGGAGGCGGGTGGCGACGGCTGTGCCTGTTTTACACTAATCCTCTGAACCGGGATGAAATGAAAGCGAGAGGAGACGGATGGAGAAGGATGATGTGATGGAGGGTGGAAAAAGCGAGCAAGGGAGTGGGTGTCAGAATGGGCCACTTGCAGTACAACAACTAGACAGAGCCCACAATAGAAGAATACATGGTGTGACACTGAATTCAAAGATGGACAAGCAGCACACACCATTGCTTTCCCCATTTTGTGTATGAAAACTTGTAGTGTGAAAAAACTACTAAGCAGGAGTTCTACTTTCTTTTATGGTTTTTATTCAGGAATCCGATCGTGTTCATTAGGTGCTACTTATATGTATCTATATATATGTGTGAGAAATTTGTTTGCTGCCACACAATGCCTTTTAAATGTATCAGTTATTACTAATATCTCCTGTTTAGGTTTAATAATGAAAAAATAAAAAAGCTATTGTTTTGCTGTGGTATGTTGTCTGTGGGCACATTCTCCAAATAGCAACTGCATTTATAGAAAAATTGAACTTTATTTTAAATTATTGTCTTTCACAAACCTAAATCAGCATACAGTTATAGTTACCATTATTATTTTTCATCGTAGAGGTTATGATTATATATTATTAAGTACTTGAGAGGAAGTATAAACGCCTTTTTTCTTCATTATACACCGTTTTGTTAAATTGCATAAGAAATGTCCAACTAAAACCTCATTCAATTACAACTACTGAGGTAAGACTCCCAAACTAATGAGAGCGAGAACATATAATACAAACATTCGAATGGAAAGCGTCGATAATAGCATTACAGTTAGCATTTATGCGAAACATCAAAGGACTTAAATTAGCTTCTAAAGAGCATCTGTACATGCCGCAGTGGCAACAGTAACTGGTGACATTTACAAGTGGACAACAAGTCTTTTTACGATTGTTCTTCTGGTTTAGAAACTTCATGACAACTGGAGGTGGCATACTATAGTATTTTGTGTCTGCATCCCTGAGTTGTCCATCTCCCCTTTCTTCATAGTCCTCCAAATTGCTCTTTGTTCTTTCTTCGGCTCCAGACAATCATATTGCTCAGTAAGGTTTTAATTATGGCGGGAGGAAGTTGCTAATAGATGCTAATACGAGATTTGAAATTACAGACGAGAGAACAGAAATTCTTCCCCCATTAGCACCCACGTGCAACATCGTCCCGACTTTTCCTTCACCCATTTCAAACCCTGTAGTGTCTCTGATCAGTCATGACAGACATGTATAACGGGCGCCGTGACCCAGCTTACGAGATGCCATAGTTGTTGTAGTAGGCCGCTGTTGCGTCCGCGAGCACGGAAATGAGGCTGGTTTCTGTGGTGCTACTGGGACACGCAGTGGCAGAAGCAGTGGCAGCAGAAGCCACCTGGATGTGTCCTGTAAGAGTCATGCTGCTGCCCTGCTCAGGATGGTACCCGGTCCCAGTGGAGTTCAGGTACTGGTCAAACTCATTGCGGTCCACCTCACCCAGAAGCTCAGCCTGGCTCAGCTGGTCTAGAGTCTCCAGGTGACCCTGTGTTTCAGGAGGCGGGGACAGCTGACCCAGGTGTCCCTGGTGGAGCCCGTGGTGAATCTGGGGGAAAGATGAGGTACTGTAGTAAGACAGCGGAGGGCCGGGGATCAGTCCACCGCCACCAGTTTGGGACATGTGAGGGATGTGACCTATGTGTGTTCCTCCACAGTGGATTTGGGTCTGAGCGTAGTCAGTGTGGTAAGGGGGCGGGCTGCCCATGTGAGTCTGATTCTGGTGGTGCTCATCTGGACAGGAGGCTGAGGAGGAGACGGAGGAGCTACCAGACGTTGAATAATATGAGGGGGGTACGTGCTCGTGGTCCATGGCATCTAAGGGGGACATCTCAGGAGGGGTGGGCAGGCCATAGGGGTAGGTGTCAAAGCTGCTGTTGGAACCAGCCGGGTCTCTGAAGCTTCTGACGCTGGGCAGAGCAGGGCTGGGGCTGGAAAACCTGCCGCCATTAGGGCTGCCCTCGTCTTTGTCGAGGGGGTGACAGAGGGCTCGCTGGTCGGGCAGGGCGTTCTGATCAGGGGCCAGGCCACTCAGGAGGAAGCCGGGGTCCACTCGCTTGCAGATGCGTTTCAGCTGCTTCTTCCGGCGAGGCCGATACTTATAGTTGGGGTAGTCCTGCATGTGCTGCACCCGAAGCCTCTCTGCTTCCTCCACGTAGGGCCTCTTCTGGGGGGGAGTCAGGGCCTTCCAGGACTTGCCTGCAAACAGACAGAAGATTTTAGTTTTAACAAAAAAATAACAGATTAATCTGCAATTTGCTTTTTTTTTTTTTATTTAATGTTTAACCTCTGTCCTAACTCCAAAATATTAAAACGACTGAACACATTTTACTCACTCTCTAACAATTTCTACAATTTGTAAAAATATCCATAAATGTGTTCTTGATCATGTTTAAAGCTGTAGGTTTATACTCCTTAAATTCATAGGAATAATGGTTAATGTTTAACATGTTTCCAAAAGATTAAACAAAAGTTAAATAGCACTATAAAACAGAGATAACATTAAAAATAATAACATCTTCCTTTACTTTCTAAAAAAAAAGCTCATAATTGTAGTTGACTTCTCAGGTGCCTGACAATTTGTTTTAAAAATAATGAAAGAAGAGTGAAAGAAAAACATTTAGAATAAAACTTTAACCCAAACTCAATATTCAGCGTCCTCTTTGGCTCGTAACTGTATTTAAGGGACTTAACCTCAAGTAATGAATGTCCTGTTTTATGACCAATACGCGCCAATTTCACCTTTATTTATAAGAGCATATTTACATGTATTGCTGTTTTAGAATTGGCTTTAAGGTGATTTCAGATTTGCATGAGTGCCAGATTTTGAACTTAACATTAAGCAGTGATACAAGCAGCCAAAATCCAACGCAAAATAAAACATTTCTGCCTTTTTCTGTGACCACAGTCTGAACCAATTTTACGGTTAGGCGACTTTTAAATTGAGGGGCTTCTGTCGACGCGCTTCACACTATAATGGATGTAAAGTTATGCTGTCTAATTAATTGATTTGGTCTAAAGAACTGCAATTAAAAACGTTGTCTTGGTTATATTGACTTTAACATATTGTAAACGTTTTATTAGATTTTAATTCACGTATCCTTCTGGCGTTGGAAACAACTTAGAAACTTTTGTAAAACAACCGAGGCCTGAAGGGAATTACAAGTGTGTTCACGAATAAAAAGCAGCAGTAATAATAATAATAATAATAACGATAATAATAATAATAAAAATAATAATAATAATTAGTAAATAAAAAAGTTAAAACTTTAAATAACTCATCTCACCCAACATTTTGCTGAGCTCGGCATTGTGCAGGTCTGGGTTTTGAACCGCCAGCCGTTTGCGCTCATCTTTGGCCCACACCATGAACGCGTTCATGGGCCGTCTGATCCGCGGCTCCGGTGCCTTGTCCACTGGGGTCCTGTGCGGGCCATGTCCATCGGGCACGTCCCCGTCTCCTGGAGGACACTCGAAGGACTCCGGCCACGACGAGTACGCGCTGATGAGGGCTGCCATCTGTGCGCTCCAAACTCTCCAAACTTCTCGCTCTGTCTTTAAGCAGTTGGGTTCACTTTAAAAAAAACAACAACTACAGAAACTGCTTTTCTTTAAAAAAAAAAAAAAAGGAGTTTCACACACTACTACAGCTACAACTAGACTAGTTGTCAGAACAGGTTTGAAGGGAAACCACAGATGTGCTCAGCAGCGGCTCCTCCTTGTGAGTTATGATTCAGTCTTTCCTGGTGGATGGGGGGAGCGCTTTATATTTGAGGAGCAGGTTCCAGGAGAAGCCCCGGAGGACGCTCGGCTCCTCCTTGATTGCAAGTTGAGCCCCGTGAAAAGGAAGAGAGAGAGAGAGAGAAAGAGAGCATTTCAACACTACTAACTACTTAAACTGGCCTCACAACAAAACACTTTCCACTGACCGATAAAGACATTTCTGCTCAACCAAAGCCATGGTGGTTAGAATAAGTCAGCATTTGACTATTCTATTATTTCTATACATGCACATAAGACCAAAGTTAGTTAAGTTGTATAAAAAAAAAAATCCCCAGGAATAATTCGCAATTATTAAAGTAACACCATCTCTAATTTAACCTGCTGCGTCATTGCTGCTGTGATGAGTAAGACAGATTTGGCAACTTCTGTTGTTTTTTTTTACTCGTCAGGCAGCAGAACCTCACTTAGAAAACTTCTCTAACCTGTTCTGCAGTTTAACCGACGACATTACACAGGTAACTGCACTGGTTGAACGGTGTTTTCCGATTTCCACTGAACTCAACTACACCAGGCTATTTTTAGAAAAGCCTTTTCTTCCTTCTTTTTTTAATAAAGAGATGCATTTTACAGCAACCCAAGCTTGATAAATATATATTTTTCACATAATTCCTGTTCAACAATCTAAATGCAAAAAGCCTATATCAAAATGACACTCCCTTTTACTGTTTGGGTGAACATCAATTTTTGGAACCTCTGATCACATCTGTGGGTGAGAGGAGAGATAAAAACCAGTGAGCACACACTACAAACAAATCAGTTTCCTTCTGTGGCCACAGACGACTGCATATCAAATCCAGGAGTTCCTGTTGACAGGATACTCTTGGGCTGCAGCCATGGAGTAGCTCACACTCTCACACACAAGGCCAGACACACACACACACACACACACAGCTCTAATACAGCTACTGATCACAGGTCAGATAGTATTTTGGTTTGTAATATTTATAGAGGAGGGAGTGAACTTAATGCAGATAGTGGTTTTGTTTTTTAACTCCTGAAATTAAAGACTTTCCACCTTTCTTTCTCCAGAGTTAATCAACAGGCAACATTGGATCTTAATCAGTGCCTTCTCACCAATCAAACTGAAGTGTCAGCTCTAACTTTGTGTGAAACGTACCCCCCCACACACACACACAGACACACACACACACAGGAACAGGATACGGCACCTGAAGCCACAGATTGTGCGCAGAGGAGGCACATCAGTGATATATAGGGCCGCACTCACTCTTGCTGCTCTGACTTTGATGTGAAGTCAGCACAACAGAACGAGCGTGAGCCGACGTGCATATACATTACAGCAACGTGTGGGGCAAAGGTTTCACATCATATGTGCAATTTGAAGTTAAGCGTATGAAAGATCTGAGTTGGGGGGTTTCTGAGATGACTAATAGCTCTATGTGTTAACCAATGTGTGGGTGAGAGCTCTATCAGCCTGCTGTTATTCACCCTTTCACTGTAAGAGGCATGTGGCAACTGGAGACTTGAGGAGGGGGCTTGTTTCTATCTATGTGCTGTATGAAGGGAGGTTTCAACATAGTAACATGAGCTTTTTTTAAGCGCACATCTAAAACGAATGAACGCAAAATCAATGCAGTGTTAAGGTTTATTAGGCTAAAACTAAACATTTATCACTTTTTCCCCCTATTATTTCCATAACCTGCTTTTATAAATTAAAAGTTTAATGCAAATTTCAAAATAAAAGTAAGCAGCATCATTATGTGCAAATATGTCAGTAAACTGGTTGTTGAACAATAATTATGCATTATATTAAGTGTGACAGAAAGAAAAAATAATTTTATTCGATCATAAAACAGCAACATCAGTTGAGAGCAAATGTTTTATTTTAAGGTATCTTTAAGGAACTTTTTCTAAATTGATAAAATTAGTTTCCCCTCAATCTTGTATGTATAAAGGTTCAATTTCTAAAGCATTTACTCATCTATTTTGTACTTATAACCTGCACATATATTTAATCTATCTTTTATCAGGACATATGGGTGTGTAAACCTAATAACTCCCATACCTGAGATGCTAAAAGGAATAGTCAGAATGAATAGGACAAATTGACCAATCCAGTTTTAGAGATTTCCCTTTCTTACGAATCTAAAATACTGACGAGCAATGGGGTGTTGTTTTTACGTGTAAGACTGGACATCTGTAGCTTCCTTTTTCCTCCTTTGACTCACAACACCCACTCCCATTGCTGAACAACACTGGCTTGTTAAGAGCTCGTCTGTCAAGTCAAAGAAAAGATGTTGTAACTTTGTACATCACATTTGGAAGTGGAAAGGGTGACTGTGGAAAGATGTTCAGATTACCTTTACAGCTGATCAGGTGATACGCGGTACTCAGTGCTCGAATGATGTAAACCTCTCCTCACCACTCCTATATGTTCTTTAGATAAATTCACATTCATTTAAAAAAAAAAAACCAATCAAATGTGCATTCATGACTAGTTGGATTTATTTAAAAAGACCTGTAAAGCGCCAAAGTTTGTCTGTTTTCTTACAGCTCATAAATGAATCAGACAAGTTTTCCAGATTACTAGCAAAACATCAAATAGCTTCTGTTCAGAGTTGTCAAACCATAAAAGATCATTTCTGTGTTGTTTTTACTTAATTGTATACTTGTCTCAGGGTCACATTAATGAAGAATTTTAAGATATCCATCATCTGAAAGACTGGACCAGGATGGCTACAACTAATTGCTGACAAGAACATAAAACCCACTGTGAAATATTGCTTAAATTACCATTAATGCTGGTTCACACAAGATGGTAGGACAAGAATGATGGTTTTCGAAAAAAGAAAAAAAAAAGTCGTATTGCAAAAAGTTTTCCTAAATCATTTGTTGGTGGGTTTTTTTTAATTAGCAATTTGGACCCTTTTTATTCAATAACACAAGACAGACACATGCCAGCACTCAGATATGGGCAAAGCTCATTAAAAAGTAGGTCAAGTTAATACAAACATCACAAATGTTTGTATTCATATATTGTAGACATTGTGGAGACATAAAAGTCACATAAAGAGAAACAGATCCATCTAATAGATTAAAGGAATAGTTCAAAATCTTGGAAAATACGCTTACAGTTGTATAGATTGATACGACTCTCACATCCGTCTGTTAAATATGAAGCTACAGCCAGAAGCTGGTTAGCTTAGCTCAGCATATGGACTGGAAATGGGGAAACCGCTAGCCTAGCTCTGTTTAAAAGTTACAAAAACCTGAGTGTAAAAATGACTTGTTTACGTGGAGCAGCACACTATTTCATAACTTCATATTTACGGTACAGATAAGAGTGATATCTAACTTTCAGCAAGACGACAATTATGTATTTCCCAAAATGTCTACCTCTTTCTTTACGTTGAGGCATTTTACCGTCGGCTTCAACAGTGGTGTAATCCCAGTGGCTTCACTGGGCAGCTTCTAGGTTTTTAATGTGATCAAATTTCTTAACCTTTTCTCCTCACTGTAGTCACATGTTCTTCATGAACAGGTTATTAGATTGTTTATATACACAAGGCATTTGATTTGCTCATAAAGGCAATGACTCCATACATGTGTGCCGCCATCATCATGTTTATGATAACAGGATAACAATGAGAACCACGTCCCCCTGAAGCCTGAACAACTGGTGGAACTGGAGGTCACTTCTATTAATTCCACCCTATTCTTGATGTTTCTTTTTCTTTTTCTTGTCCTTTTTGGATTTCTTTTCTACCAGCTCCTCCTGGTCCTCTTTTACTACATCGTCCACCTCCTGTCTCTGTTTCTTCTTCTTCTTCTTTTTCAGAACAACTTCAGATTCTACAGTCTGATCCTCCGTTGGCCCATGTCCATTTGGTAGCTCAGTTTCCTTATTGTGTTTTTTAAGCTTCTTCTTCTTCTTGGATGGCGGCAGCTCCTCGCAGTTCTGTTCCACACCAGAGGTGGAGCTACAGTTCTCATTTGTAGCTCTTTCGTTTTCGACCGTTTTCCTCTTTTTCTTCTTTTTCCCCAGATGCTCCTGCTGTTGGTCGTCGGCGTCGTCGTCTTCTATTACGATAGGAGCGGCACTGTTCTCCTCTGCCACTTCCAGCTCATCTGCTGACTTTTTGCTCTTCTTTTTCTTCTTCTTCTTCTTTTTGAGTTCTTCTGAGTCGTCGTTGCTGGTGTGGACGGGACTGGGTTCCTCAGAAGGACCCGATGTCTCGTTGGTCTCTGCCTCCACTGATGGCGCTGTACTCTGGGCCTGTCCACGAGCCTTCTTCAGCTGAGCCATTCGCTGTGCAAAATACTCCTGCATGTTGAGAGTGCTCGTCACAGTCTTGGTGATGGACTCTGTGTCAAGTTTAGAAGAGGCAGGAGTAAAAGACTCCTCTGCTTCACCCTGAGAATCACTGCTGCTGCTCTCCTATAACAAAAAACACACAGAAAGGAGAGGACAGAGTTAGGATTTAATGCAGCATTTACAAATAGACAGCGCACAATGGTGGACAGAGGAGCTTAAGTGATCGTCAATCATCGTGCAGAGATTAACCAGGCAGATTTTAGTGAGTGAAAAGAGCCCAAAATAGGATGCTGATGTAACAATAGGTGTTAAAGGATCCCTTTAAAATAAGCATCTGACATTTATCATCATCATCTTCTTACAACTGTTTGTAGCTACACATCCAGCTGTGTGTCCTTGCACAGTCAGCTGCTCGTTCGCAAAGCGTTCTAGCGTGAAACAATAGTATATGTACCTGATGGATCATATCTCATTTAATAAATACACCATATGTTTTGACAGTGTCCAATTCACATGGTGCCACTACAGCACCACTTTGACGTTAAGTATAATAATATCACTTTTGGAAAATCATTTGAGATCATTTAGAATTTTTTACACGTATATAATTTAATAATTGTAAATTATAACTAAATATGTAACAGCAATCACACAACGTACTCTATTTACTAGGCTGAGTAAGCTACTTTCCTTTAACA